CGGGGCGGGGGGGTGGGGAGGTCACCCGTCCGGTTACTGAGTTCTCCCACAGCTGGGAACACAACTGGTTTACTCCTGAGGAGAAACCTCAGCCAGAAGTGGTGACAGCCGGGGGAGAAAGGGAATGATGCCAACCAGGAGTTTCCCTAACATGGCTTATCTCGGTGTAGAAACACAGCAAACAGATAAGGACGCGCTGATCTTTCTGCACTGGATCCTCTCTCTCCAGAAAGAGCTGGGAAAATGAGAGAGAACGGTGCAATAAATATCAGCTCACTGCTCCAGTATTTAGGAATGACAAAGTGACGGTGTCTCTGAAGCCCAGAGGCGCTGACGTGACTGCTGCCAACTTCCCAGCAACCGCCTGAAAAACAGTCCTGATGAAAGTGCTCAAAATGAACACAGAAGTCAGCGTCTCCTGGAGGATTTACATCGCTTGCTCAGCATCAGCCAGACAAGCCGCATCCCTGAAGAGTTACTCATGATTTACAGCTCCCCCGCAGCTTATCATAAACATCCGGGAAATGCTCCTTGCACTTTGAGGCTGAAGAACCAGGAGTGTTACATGAAGGGAGAGCAAAAGGACAAGTGGAAAGGAAGCAGCAAGTTCCTGCTTCAGGGAGCTCTGCTGCTGTGAAAACAGGCTTTGCGTTCTGCAGAGTCAGCCTGCCCATGAGCTCAACCTCTGCAGTGGGTTTCATCACTCGGAGGAAGGGTTTTTCAGCCTGTACGACAAACGTTTAACAGTTTCCAACGGCTGAAGCTGAAGTCAGAGGAATTTGAAGAAGAAACATTTAGTAATGAAGAGAACGGATCACCGGGGTCTCACTGGAAGGGCTGCGGTGGTTTGCCAGTGTTTGGGAGGAGAGAGTGTGTGACTTACTGAAGGCTTGGAAAAGCACTCAGCCTAGCTCTAGCGGTTCTAGGGAAGTCTCACGACCCAAAGCAACACTGGGAGCTAGATAAGATGACCACAATTGTTCCTGTTGAGTTGAAAAGCCTCAGAACCACGACGAATGCAAGATTCAGTGTCGAGGAGTTTCAAATGAACGCAGAGCTGACAAACTCCACCTTACACTCTGGTAGGCCAGTCATCTCCAAACAGCAGCCCTCCCCGTTTATCACAAACGGTGAAAAGGCAGATGTCGCTCTCACCATGCCCCTCCCCCAGGTGCTGCTTACACAGATCTTCACCCTCACCCCTCCGTAAAACAATCCCAACATTTAGATTTGACAATGGCAGCACGATTCCCGCACCCAGCGGGAGAAACACTCTCATAAACAGCCACAGTACGATAACCCTGAAGGCCGTTTCCCTGGCTCCCCATGCTCCAGTGTAAACCCTCGCCTGCACTGACGAAGACCCGCAGGCGCCAAAGTGAAGCTGTAACGCGGTTCTGCAACCCCTCGCTTACCTGTGTAGTTTACAGAATAGCTGTTGGGATCCAAGAATTTTTTCACCAGTTCACAGTTGGACAGAATGTGATGGGTAGTAATCACATCGAGATAGGCCTGGAGTCCCTTCTGTCTTTCAGCGATGAACTCACGCTCCATGTTTCCAATCAATTTTTTTGGCGGAAGAGGTAGACTGAGAGATGAGATCTTAAAAAGAGAGATTAAAAAATTACTAACCTTGCTCTCCAAATGCCTCGGGGATATCAATTAGCAACCCAGACAGTAAGAGACTCTCAGCAGCAAGCTAACTGCTGGGGAGCATTCTGTGCACCCTGTACAGCCAAGCGTTTACGATCTGCTGAGCACTGTCACCAGGGTGAGCTAGTCAGACCACAGGCCACAGCCCGCTGTGAAGAGACTGAAACTGCGAGGAGATGAACTGCTGCTGCTGAGTCACGCGCTTAAGCTCCCTACACAAAACCTTCAGATGCTCAGCCAAATCCTTTCTATGATCATACCTCTGCCAGGGGGTAAAAGCAATTCACACCTCTCCATTTTCTCCAGGCACAGGTTATGCTTTCCTATTTCATGAAGAGCAGAGGAGTAACTTTCCTTTGCCTCTGCTGCCTGCACAGGTAACTTACAGCCCTCACTGTCAGTATTTTACATCCGTAATTTCACATATGGTGCACCTTTTCCCATCGCTCTTCTGAATCCACTGCTGTGCAGTTTTTAAACAGCTACACATCTTTCAACCCAGGAACAGCTGCGATATACCGCTGGATGTGCAGCGGTTGTTCACGGTGGCATATGCGAGCCAGGACTGCCGATAAAATCAGAGCAACGCTTCGAAACAGGGCGCGGAACAAATGTACAGAAATTCAGAGCCTTATGTAAGTCAGATCAAAGAGATCTTCTTTAGAACACAAATCTAGGCTGGAGACAGTGTTTACATTCAATTACCTCATGTGAATTGCCAGAATAAAGTTTCCATGCTGTTAACACGTCGTTGTCCCGCAGATCAAAGCGCCTGCCCCGGGTACGCAGACTCTCCGCGGGAGCTATCTTTAGGCAATGTGTGCTGCAGGAATCGACTACGCCACACGCAGTAACCTCATTTCTAATGCCAACAGTTCACCAGGGAGAAGACCGAAACTGTTGGTGTTTGAACAACTTTCCCTTTCACCAGTGAAAAAGTAAAGGATTAGTTCAAACTTGGGCAGAAGGGGAAATCCCCTTCCTTTGCATCCTCCTCCTTTTAAACACAGGGCTTGTCCCCCCCCCAGACTGTAGCACTTCTGTTTCTGGCAGCAAATCGTGGGCTGAAGAAGAGCTACACCTACACCTGATTACAGAAGACGGTAATAAAAACCATCCTATCCACTGAGCATTTTTAATGCTCTTTTACACCCAAAGGGGGGAAATATATCCAGGAATAAACCCAAAAGTAACAATCAACCACTTAAAACTACTGTGGTGAGTTACTGGCCGTAACACCAGAGGCATGTAAAACTTTCACTTGGCAAACCACTCTTGCTTCAACTGAAAAAAGAAGTTTCTGAACAAAAAGTAAATGCATTTCTGGTGTTACTCACCTGAAAAGCATCAAATTGTGATCACCCTTCCCTTCCTGACCTGACAGCTAGCTACCATCAGAGTGAAAAGGACTTTAGCTCCCATGTTTGCAAACCACTGTTATTTCTTCTGAAATCTATTTCAATAAAGCACACATCTGACCTTTTCCTGCAGAAAGCAGCAGTCACCCCCCAGTTTTTGTCGCTCCCTGCCAAAACAGACAGCACAGCGAGAACACCACCTACCGCAGAATCATAGAATCATAGAATGGTTTGGGTTGGAAGGGACCTTAAAGATCATCTAGTTCCAACCCCCCTGCCATGGGCAGGGACACCTTCCACTAGACCAGGTTGCTCAAAGCCACATCCAGCCTGGCCTTGAAGCCATCCAGGGATGGGGCATCCACAACATCTCTGGGCAACCTGTTCCAGTGCCTCACCACCCTCTCTGTGAAGAATTTCTTCCTGACATCTAATCTAAACCTCCCTGATTTCTTTTTGTACCCATTACCCCTTGTCCTATCACTACAAGCTCTTGTAAAAAGTCCTCTCCCAGTACCCTTGTAGGCCCCCTTCAGATACTGGAAAACTGCAATGAGGTCTCCTCGGAGCCTCCTCTTCTCCAGGCTGAACAAGCCCAGTTCTTGCAGCCTTTCGTCATAGGAGAGGTGCTCCAGCCCTCTGATCATCTTCATGGCCTCCTCTGGACTCGCTCCAAGTGGTCAATATCCTTCTGATATTGAGGGCTCCACAGCTGGACGCAGTACTCCAGGTGGGGTCTCACCAGAGCAGAGTAGAGGGGCAGAATCACCTCCCTCGAAGAAGGGAAGAAGAAGAACACCTCACCGAGGTCCTGCCCTTGCAGAGACCTGCACGCGGCCAAACCCCGTGGGCTCAGCACTGGGACTGGCCTTGCCACAGAAGGACCTGGGAATTAAGGTTCTTCTCTTCAAACTCAGGAACGTCCGCTCAAAAGTCTCAGCACTGGGACTGGCCTTGCCACACTGGGAATTAAGGTTCTTATCTTCAAACCACAGCCCGCTCAGGAACGTCTGCTCAAAAGCTGCAATCCAATGCTTCCCAAAAGCCAGGTATCTCGCTGCAAATACTGTACCAGCGCTTCACTTCACCCCACAGAGTGATCTCCACAGCTCTCGGGCGAAGCGGCGAAGAGGAAAAAGCGAAGGAGACTCTGGAAGGAGCTTTTTAATCCAGCACACAGCTGAGAGTTCAGGGAATCTGAAACGCTCCGATGCGGATCGGGGTCACAGGTACACATGTGGCGGATTCTCCAAGGTGTTTGGCCGGTCTGCATCCCCCAGCTGGGACAGTCTGGAAATTCTCAGCCCTTACTACTGCTGGGTAAGCGGCATCGGATGAACAGCAGGGAAGCTGCATTCCAACTCAGCTGCAGCTGTGTTCAAACACAACCACCCACACCTACCGAGAGGCCAAGCATGCCTCAAAAAATATCAGTCACAAAGATCTACCCTCAAAGCGCAGCGGCATTTGCTTTTCATCTCGCTTGCACAGGACTGTGGAAATCTCGAGTAGGAGGTTTCGTCCCTGTAGATGCTACTCACTGCTGCTTCCCCCTTCCCCCAGACACACTCAAACACCCTGCTTTTTCCCACACAAACTAAAAAGAAAGAGTTGTCCTAAAAAGCAAAAGCAGACAGACAGTAAGGGCAGTGTTTAACTAAGGAACACTTCCCAGTGACACAGAAAACCATCACATGATAAGCAGCATCTGGTGGTGCTTTGGGAGGAACAGAAATACCAAGACACACAGCACTTCAGTGCTGAGTTTATCAGGTTGGTGTGTGCCTTGGCTTTCTCCGAGTCAAGGGAGGAGCAGACAACACCACACAGAACCAGAACAAGCCGTAGTACTGAAGGGAAAGATTAAGTACCTGCCAATTTCCTTCATTTCTCTATAAATGGGTCCCGTTGGTGCTAAAATTGAAACTGTACAAGTAAAAACGAGGAGTGAAAAAAGCATACATTCCCATTCCATTTGAAGTCACAGATTCTTTTCGCAGCTATGGGAATTTGTATTTTTTCTTCCTTGCAATATGTAAAAATATCACAAGCCTTTTTAAACATATCCTGCTAAAGAACATTTGTGTTTACACAGAAAGTGTGAAAGTTACCTGCAAGCTGTTATTCAGCAAGTCGAAGTCACTGTATCGCCTCACAATCTGCAAAATATAAAGACAAAGTTCAGGAAACTTACTACTCTTCCCACTGGCATTTCACTCTTCTAAACCCCACCAGAAAAAAAGTCATTCCTGTTTATTATCTTCCTCTTTTAACCATTTTTGTACAAGTGTCTATCTGCTGGGTTTATGCCACGTTGCCAGAGAGCAAAGAGGAGGTTTTAATCACATCTCAACCCGACTATAACTGTGTGTAAAGACATTCTCTTAAAACAGCTTAAAACCCCAGGTACTTGTGAGCAACGCTGTCTGCAAACAAAGCATTTTTGCCTTATTAGATGCAACAGCTTTTCACAGTCGTGTTCATTACTGCTTCTAGGTTTCGTTGGTCTCGTATCAGCAGGGCTGGGATTCCAGCAGTAGGGAAGGCAAACTGGCTTGGAGATTAAAAGCTGGTGGCACCACCACACCGTAGTAACATGACAGGCGTTTGTCCTGCAACACCCTCAGCAGCAGCAAACCTGCCTTCTGCAGCTGGCAGCAATACCGGGTTTCTCTTAGTTTTTGAACAAAAGTATTCAAGCACTTCATGTTCTCGATTCCAAACCAACATTTCCCTCTCCAGCTCAAATTTAAAAGCCTAGGAGGAGACAATTTTCAAATTCTTCCTAAAAAGGCATCCTGGTTACACAAACCACAGCTTAAGAAATTACCTGCCAGCTGTTTTCTGCTGAAATTCCTCTCTGAACACGGATTATGTATTCCTGATAAAAGGGAAAAAGTGATTAGAAAGGGGACTAATGAGCTGAAGAAAGTTATCAGGTACTTCTTCTCCAAATACGACCCCTTTGCAATTAGGAAACATTCAGAAACGAGCTCAGGCAGAGGGTTTGGAGCCACAGGGAAGGTCAGAGCTGGCTGTGCTCAGCCCCACCACCAGCAGCTCCCTCCTCCGCTTCCCAGAGCGATGGCAAAGAGAGGTCCACGAGCCTGCAGGCCTGTGAAGCACCTACCCATCCATACTTGGAGGAAGCCATGATTTTGTTTACCCCTGCTCTGTTTAAGTTTGAGAAGAGCTCTAAAAATACTGCTGACAAAGATCATAAACGAGGCAAGTCCTGTTCCTAGAAAGCCTATAATCTCCATATTAGATATCGTTTAATTAGCAAGGAAATTAAATTAAGCTGGACTAACTGACATAACAGACGCTTCCTTTGCCGTTTGCAGACACAAAGCTCTATAAACGCAGCTCTTTCTAAAGCCGTTACACAGACAATCCCATGGCCACACGATTTACACTGAAAAACACAAAAATGGAGAGCCAGAAAGCAGGGTGCTGCCTGCGAAAACGCAACCCCCACCACTGACGAGAGTTGGGGAGTACCCAGGGTCGGAAGCAGGGTGAAGCCACACAGGTTCCCATGATTTACGCCTTCGCCTGACGCTGTAGGAGGGGGCGACGTCCCCAGCACCTTCCAAGCACACGTGACGCCCCTGCTGTGCTTGGCCCGGGGCGCAGGACCCACCGTGGGGGCCCAGAGCACCCCGGGCTGCCCCAGCAAGCACGCTCCGTCGCACGGCGTTCCCGCGGAACGGAACCCAAAGGGAGAAGTGGGAAGGCTGACCCAAACACAACTTCAGGCCACGGCTCACGGTGTTTCCAAGCTCGTCGTTGCCTCTGTGCCACGCGGCACGCGTACCCACCCTGCTCCCGCCCGCCGTGCGGCGCGCATCCCACGGGAAACCATCCGTTAATGAGTGCCGATGCCCTCGCTCGCCCCACTCGACTCACAAACTAGGTGAAGTGCTGAGGAGTTTTTCAGTTTGGAACACCAGCTCGTGTCCAGGGGCATCTTACCCGAACAAAAAGCATTACGCACATTTTTTCCAGATGTTAAAGTTAATGCCGAGCTCCAAACTATGCATGGACAATCACGACAGAGCAACGAATAAACAAGGCGTTCCAGCACCTTGTGTTCATGTGTGTCTGCTCTCCAACAGTAACTATCTGGAAGGCACCTCCACACCTACGAGACAAAGCAATTAATTGAGGATTTGATCCAGGAAGTTTTATCAGTCCAGCTCCACGGCTAAAAACCCACTGCAGACATCTCTTGGCCACTTCTTTCAGGAGCTGTGAAGCATCTTCTGGTGCTGGCAGTTGCTTTCAGAACCACATGGAACCAATTCTCCTCTCAATCAAAAGCTCGTACACTGGAGGACATAAAAATACCACTGGACGCAAACAAGCAAAGTGGGGCACATTGGAGAAGCCCTCTGTAGAATCAAATTCCCATTTAACATTTACCACCGTTAATGTAAATCAAGAATTAGGGGTGTTCCAGGCAAGAGGCAAAGGCAGCCCTTACCAGAGGGCACTACCTTGTGGTTCAGCCTTGACTAACCCAGAGTTTGTGTGCTGCAGTTTCCTTCCAAAGCACAATGGCACTCAGAAAAAACTCTATTCTGTTTTCTAAAATCCACTCAAAATACCCTAGATCACCAACAGATACTCAATATCTGTAGCAATTCTGAAGCATCCAGCCTTGAGAAGAAGTTCAAGACTAGGAAGCATAACCCAAGTGGTTCAAAACAGTGTCCAAGCAGACAGAAATCCACGGCGTCACAAACCAAAACACATAATGGTCACACTGGAATGAAAGTGTCTCTTTCCAGAAAGTCAGCCTGACATGCTCCCTCTGTATTCTCTTACCCATTTGAAATCATCATTACGGCATTTTTCTGCAAAACCAGAAGCCCAAACCTCATAAATAGCCACAAAACTCCACAGAACCAACTGCAGTTCACCCAGAGTAATTGCATTTGGAAACTGCGTGACAGGAAGCGGCTTGAGGGACACCTGGAAACCCAGATTCACCACTAACGTGGCTCTTCCCATTTCATGACCCTGGCTGCATTTCGGGCAGTAGGAAAAGGCCGCTTACTTCCAAAGAATTGCAGCAACTGCTCACCCGGCAAGTCTCAAATGAAGGCTGGCCGGTTCTCTGAAAAACCACGACAGTGATGATTCACCACGTTCAGCCATTCAGCTTTCCCAGGATGTTGAAAGAAGGAGAGTTATTGCTCAATCCCCTGCAGCACTCGCTCTTTACCCAGCGATTAACCTCTTCTGTTGCACCCCAAGAAAACGCTCTGGGGCAGGCAGAACGCACAAACCCATCGGACAGCTACCACAGCATCTTACTGCGTACGCCCACTCCGACGGATGCGGCAGTCGTCTCTTCTGGAGAGCCTTGAGATAACCAACTCCGGGCATTGTATTGCAACACTGGACGTGGGCTGCAACTCTATTTTCCACGCGGGCTCGAGCGTTTTCCCATCCAGGTCTGCTCTGGCACCCTGAAGCACTAATCCAGCCCCCTCTTTGCATCATGGGTTCTCTGAAAGCAGAGAGCAGCGCTCTCCAGGCACAGTCGTTAGTCCTGTCTGGACGGGCAAGGTCAGTCCCCGTCATGCCCTCCCCATCAGCGCTGACCCTAACGAAGAATCAGCCACCTCGTCGATACAAGTAATGAAAAAGCCTACATGTCTTCTGGGTTTTTCCTCCTAGAGTTGATAATGAGCCTGAACGTCAAAGAACAGCCACAGCAGAAGCGCCGTGGTAAGAAATACAGCCCGTCCCCAGTACCTGCCGCGGCCGCCCATGGTCAGCAGCCCACAGCACACTGAGATTCTGCGAGAGGCTGGCATCTCCCACTGCCCCCGCAGGGCAACAAGCCTTGTCCTGGGATCAGCATTAGCACCGCTGACACGTGCTTCCCATGCGACCACGGAAGAGCTTGCTGCTCCGCAAGGAAAAAGCCTAGATGCGCAAAAGCCTTTACTACTCTGTCAAATTCTGGTTTGGTTAGGATAAATATCTGAATAAGGACAATTTTCTTCTGAGACAGACTGATTCGACAGTGGGACGGAGAGTGCCTGTCGGAAATAAATGACAGTGTAAGGAAACCAGACAGGCACACTCAGTCACTGCTGTTCAGCTGCACCATCTAACGTGGGAAAACATGACAAGAAAGGTGCCACAAAGGGCTAGTAACTACCCGCGTCACTCCTGCCGACGGCTTTGGGCACCGACAGCCAGGCTAGGCGAGTCCAAGGTGAGCGACACTCCTGCAGAAATTCCCGTGGCATTTTCCACTCCCACGTGAACGGCTCAAAACCTTCCCTGCGACTCAGTTTACCAAATAACTTCCAAGGAGCCCAGGCAGCTGCTGGTTGGGCAAGAAAGGTCCCGGCTTGCAGCAGAGACAGCCTCGTGCTACCGAGCTTGCCCGTGGGCAGCAAGCCCCAGGAGCCACCCCCACGGCAGGCCTTGAAACCATCCCCCGAGTGACCGCAGACTCCCACACGGGTACGGTTTGTACATCCGCTGCTCTTCCTACCAACACTGCCAAGGCACAGCCGTGACGTTCCAGCAGGTCAGCACACGGATTTAAAGATGCCAGGCACAGCGGTTTCACCTACGGAGTCACTTCCTGGCTGCTCCGATTAGTCAACAAGGCCGAAACCAGCGCTGGGAGGTCGGGTGGGAAAGTTGTATGACCCCAGTCGCACACTGTCGTTTCCTAGAATCTTCCTCCTACCACTACAAGGTGCTGGATGGAGTTTCTGCAAAAAAGTATTTTCCAAACATCCACGCGGATCAGCGACAACCATGCTGCATTTCTCCAATCCCCTGCCAACAGCAGTTTCACAATCACCGCCTGGGATTAGCGCTGTCCTGGACTTACCCATTTTCACGCAGAGCCAACGCTGAGGTGGGTTCTCCCCCACGATTCACCAAGATCACTCCCTGCTATCCCAGCACTTGCTAAAACATCAGCAGCTCAGAGCTGCCGGACACCGTTGTTAACATTCCTAGGTGAACGTTACCCAGCAGAGCGTGTCCACATGTTTAGTAATTGCTGTTTATCAGCTTCCCTCGGTTTTGAAACAGAAAGCAAACAGGAAAGAAAAGCTTGTGCAGAGACAAAACAGGAAAGAACAAGCGGTGAATTTCGAGATTCATTTAACAAAACATACAGAGCCTCGCCAATATCGGGTCATATATTCTGCCTTCCCGAGAAAGGAGTCTCGATTTCTGGCTCGGGATACTCAGCCTAATTTTTCCAAAGGTTTCTGCTGTACATCTGTTTAATCCAACGGGCTTGAAAAGCCAACCATTATAAAGACCTAGGTCACCCTCAGGTCACATCCACTGAAAGTCTGAAAGGGCTTTATTTGATAAGCATTACCGAGAGGAAAGCCCAATTAAGCATGAATACAATCCCTGCTTAAGTAGGCGGGATTGGAACCATTTCTCCTAAGAAGCTCTTTGAAATGTTTACTTAGAAAATCTCCCATGAGAGAAGTAGCGAGAATATCAGGAAAGGCGCTGGGACTGGGGGAGCTCTTCGCCCCAGGGCACACGCTCGCGGGTGACTGCACAGCCTGCCCTCACACCCAGCACCGGCGTTCACCTGCGCGCTACACAGCGCACACGCGTGTCGGGGACGTTACGCGGCCCCACTCGCGCCCCATGGCTGGTGGGGGAATGAGCAGGGCACGGAGGGAAAGCTGTGAAGCAGGACAACTGCAGGAAAAAAATGGGACACACATTTACATGGAATGAGACGTCCTCCACGAGGAAAGCTCTGGGGAGAGACAGGAGAAATGACAGCTTTCGGCGCCCTGCATCCCACGGCTTTGCCAGAAAGGCAAAACACTCCGTGTTTTTCAGGAAATGCCGATAAAAGTT